CCATAATTCTCTGCTACCTAAAAGGTCTGTTACCGAAAAATTAATGAGTCATAGACTGTTGACGTCTCTAGAAACCCTTTCTAAATACACACTACAATCTGTATTCGTACAGTTCCTGCTCTTTGAAGATATGCCAATCTTTATTAGTGACACCATCTCACACTGTAAGTTCGCTGTGAGGCCTCATAAAATTAACTATGAAATTTCATTAGTTCATAGTGGGAGACTCTGCTTCAGAATGGCTAGCACTGCCCCATGGGCAACGTTACGGTCTTACAAACCGAGAGGAGGAAAAGCAGTATTAGTACGTTCCCCCTTTGGAGGGAGGCGGCAAACGGAAGGCGGCCGGGCGAGAGCTCGCGCAGGGCCGCGGGGAGAGCCAGGGCACTCGCAACTGCTCCCCTCCGCGCCCGCGCGGTCCGGAGCCCAGCCGGCCGCACGGCCCGGTCCCGGGGTCCCCGAGCGCCCCTGGCCGGGCTCGCGGGCCCCGCGGGGCTCGATTACTCTCGCCTGGACGCGAGCTGCGCCTCGGCTCCGAGGAGCCCTGCCGTGGGGAGGCGGGGCGACGACAACAAAAAGAAGTCAAGTGGGAGGAGATTCGCCCGCGCGGGGGGCGGCGGCGGCGGCGGCTCGTGGGAGAGGCGGCGCCTGGGAAGGGCCCGCAGCGCCGGGAGCCCCGCGCCCGCTGCCGGCGAGCGGCTGGCGGGCCCGGAGAGGCGCCTGCCGCGCGCAGCCCAGACGCGGCCCGCGCGCCCGCCCTCCGCCGCGCTCGCGCCTCCGTCCGCCCGTCCCTAGCGCCGCCCGCGCGCAGCGTCTCGCGCCGGCCCCGGCCCGCCGCCGGGAACACCGCGAGAGCAGCGCCCAGCGCTCCTTCCCCTCCCCGCGCTCTCGCGTCGCCCCCGCCCGGGCGCCTAGTCCCGGCCGCGCGCCCGCTCTCCGGCCAACTTTCTCTCCGGGGCCTCCCCGGCCCGCCGCCACTCCCGCGTCGCCAAGCCCCCAACCGCCGCGCTCTCCCTGGGCGCGCGGCGCCGCCTGCTTCCGGGCGGGCGGCTGG